CCCCACGAAGCACTAACCCAAAAGCCACGGCACGATCGGCAAGACGTCAGCGTTGCCCGAACGAGGCGGGTGGCATTCTGCGAAAGATGGGCTTGCCGGATGGCTTTGGGGTTTAGGGTTAAGGTTCTGCGGTCTAGGTGGGGTTGGGGTTTAGGGTTCAAGCTTACAGGCTCTAGAGTCTAGAGTTCTACTGTCCTCTCGAAAGTCGGTGCAATGTCTCTGGGATGCAACCTTCAAAGTAGACGCCGTGCATTCACAGTCTACTTCCGGCCTCGGATTGCCGACAGCTGAAGAAAGCCTGAGCAGGTTGGTTTTCGGCTCAAACCGGTTAGGATTTACTGTTTACTGGTGTGGCGTTCCGTTAAGAAGGGTCATGTACTTTACCATGCCACGGATCTACAGGAATCTACATATGTTCCGACGCGTTTGTTCCAAAGAAGCGAACAGGAAGAGGGACACATCAACTTCAACCGAATATCCACTTGCCCCGAAGCTTTCAATTTAGGCTGTTGAGTTCAGGAATGAGGCTGCAGGGTTTTAACCACAACCATGCCCTAAACACTTCGGGTCGATTGCGCAAAGCCCCAACGCACGACATTGCCATAATTTATCATAACACCCCGCCCGACATCCCCAAACCGGAAACCCCCAAAGCCTTGAACCGCCGAAACGGTAACCTAATACCCCCGAAAGCCAAAGCCTAAACTTCAAATCCCATATAGTACCCTCCGATAGCAAACCGTAAATTAAGCCCCACCTAGTCCCCCACCCTAAGCTTCCCCAAAACAGCATACCCCCCAAGCCCTTGCAGTTCCCCCCAAGTCCTTGCAGTTCTTGCAGAGCTCCGACCCATTCTCTTCGTAGCCGCCAAGCTCGAGCAACTCGAGGCAGCGCCGCGTCTTCCTGCAAAAACACCAGCACCGTAACTTCTCATCCAGAGCTTGGGGCCACGATAGAAACCCCAAACCCTAAACCCCCAGTTTTGAAGAGATTGGTTTTTCTTTTGCTTCTTTTTTATGGTCTACTGAGGCCTCTTTAGGGCTTCTAGAACCCGCAAGTCGATAAGGGTCCTCAAAGAGTTCTGCGAAGACGAGTCTGGTCAGGGATTAGCGGTTTAGGGGTTTAGGGTTTAGGGGTTTAGGGCTTATACCCTATAGGGCTTAGGGCTTAGGGCTTATAGGGCTTAGGGGTTTAGGGGTTTAGGGCTTAGGGGTTTAGGCGTTTAGGGTTGATGGGTTTAGGGTTTTTAGTCTAGGGCCCGAATACCCCAAGTTTCGTGACACGACGGTAAAAGGTTGGGGGCTGAAAGGGCGCAGTCTATATCCCACACCAAGCCTTTCAACATCCTTGAGCCCTAAACCAAGGCCAAGCAGCATAGGGCCTGGACTGTCGTTTAGGGCTTCGGGTTTGCGCAATGCACGTTGCTAGACTCTAGTTTGCCGTGTTGCGCTTGGGATGAAGCGTGTTGGCTTTAAGATTCAAAGCCCGGGACTGGACTCCTGTCCCAGATTCCAGAGTGTGAACCAAAGGCTGTACTACATGCGAAATCTGTACGTTAAGGAGCTGCCGCAAGCAGGAGCTTTCTTGTCACAGATGACTAAAGACCCTACATGCTTGTAACGGTGTCTTGCAAGGTCCTATGGTAGGATTCAGGTCTAAAACCATGCGTTGGGATGGATCCCTAAACCATATGAGCCCCCTAGCCTAAACCGTACCCTAAACCCTAGACCCCTTCAGCCCTACCCCTGGCACCCCAAAAAGATCGAGAGCGATCTTCCGATGCCAAGGAGCTCACTTCTGTAGTGCCGCGCAGTTCTGCCAGAGGCCGACAGAAGACGCCGCATCGTCTCAACCTCACTTGGAGGTTCATGGGCAGTTATAAGTGGAGTTATAAGTCCTTTAATTTGGGTTATAACTATAGTTATCTTACTTATCACCTTGATTATAACTACCCATGAACCCCCAAGCACAGAAACATGGGGAATTTCAGGGGCCTCGCTTGCCTTCACCGCCTTACGTCGAGCAATTCAGGGCCAACCATCGACTGAGGAAGTCCCCGCACTGTAAGGTCCATAATGATAGAGTTTTTGCGGATTCAGTCGGATTCTGGAGGTAGCCGCACTCACGTTCCACTGTGCGCTGCCGGAGCGGCACAGAGACATTACTTGGAGGTTCATGGGTAGTTATACGTGGGGTTATGAGTCCCCTGATATGGGTTATAACTATAGTTACCCTACTTATAACCCCCACTTATACCTACCCATGAACCTTCAAGCAGTCGCGGAAGAGGCCGTGAAGGCCTGCGTGGCTCCTTCCACGGTACCGTGCTGCTGCAGCGCCTGGGCGCCTGGGCCAAGTGTGGCTTCAGGGCCTCCTCCTTGCGCTTCAGGTCTTCAGTGCTCGTGTCTGCTTCCGGCAGCTTGGACTTAGGGTTTAGAGTTTATAAGGTGTAGGGTTTAGGGTTTGGTTTGGGGTGTAGTGTTTAGGGTTGAGAGTTTACCTAGACCCCGACCCGCAGCTACCCTTTACTGTAGCCGAAAACTACCTCTCAACGAGGAATAAGAGGATCCCTTCAAAGGGCAGTTGGGGGGTCCAGGTAAGGTGTAGGGTTTAGGGTTTAGAGTTTTGGGGTGTAGTGTTTAGGTTTGAGAGCTCAGGGTTTAGAGATAAAGGTTTGGGAGTTTAGGGTTTTATTCGGAGGCAGCTCCAAAGCGGAAAGCTTCCGTCGGCCAGCTAGAACCCCAAAACAAAACCTCAACTAATCCGGGCACTCCGGCATCAGGATGGAGCATCCAGCGTCTACAGAGTAGGGTGCGGCGCTCTCACAGGATCGGGGGCCTTGCTACGGTCACTATAACTATACGATCACCAGCACCCCACCCATCGGGTTGCTGTACTAACGATCTTACTTAGAACCTACTCATTAGATCCCTGAATCAGGCAAGGCCCCTGCAGCCGTTAACTGCCCTAAACCCGAAACCCTGAGCCCAAAACCATACACCCTATGCCGCCCTGAATCCTAAACCCCCCAGGTACCTACTATATAGGGTACTAGAGCCCCTAGGGCCCTAATACTAGGTACCTGGAGGGTTAGGGAATCTTACCATGGCTTTGGGCTTGCAGGCTGTCCATGCCTCAGGGCGTCGCAGAGCTTGAGGGTTTAGGGCTTAGGGTTTATAGGGTACAACCCCCCAATATCCCAAGATGTCCAGACATTGGCGACTTCAGAAACCCTGAATCCCAAGATGTCTAGACATTAAAAGTTTAAATATTCACCCCACGGCCCTACACCCTGACCAGGCCCCCTCACTGTCCAACATGTTTCGAGCTTTTCAATTCTGGATAAAACTAAACCCTAAACCCTAAACCCATTGTTGCTCAAAACTAAACCCTAAACCCTAAACTCAATTTTGGTTAAGACTAATCCCCAGCCTCGGAAGTTGTGGCCTGAAGTATGCACGGATTCGACAACTGAGAACCTTCCTAGAGTGTGGGGAATCTCCCTAGGCCATAGAATGTATAGCACCTTTTTTCTGATTTCTGGATAACACAGTTTATGGCCAGGAGTCAAGATTCTATGTTCCGAAGCCAAGGTAAGCCAAAACGGTACTAGATTCCAGGGCCTCGGTAGGGTAACCACCCGAAACACAAGCCTACCCATAGACTCCATAGTAGTTCCTTTTGGGGGTTTATATTTTAGGATTCTATAAGGTAATCCCCAAAAGGAACTACTATGGAGCCGATACCTAATCCCCAAACGTAGAGCCCTCGGTTCGATCCCAAAACCCGAAAGCCTGCCTCTTCAGCGAAGGCGACCACGGGCAAGCCTGCAAACAACCACCCTGAAAGCACACTGAATTACCCATAAGCTCCATAGTACTTCTTTTTTGGGCTTACCTTGTGGAACCCTAAATATAGGCCCCAAAAAGGAACTACTATGGAGCCTATGGGTAAGAGAAGCCTTCTGGCGGATCCTCTGGGTTTAGATGTAGTAGCTCTGAGCCGCGAAGTTTGAACCTTGTGGGCTTTAGGAATTCCTAAACAGGTGCACACCGGAGCAAATGAGCCAGCATTCGTGAATACCATGGGCCCTATATAGCCTAAAACTAACCCTTGGGCACAATTACGGTAGGAATTGATATACCCAAACGTTGCGGTTGCAAGTTCAGAACCATCCATGAATGAATCCACAACTTGAAACCCAAAACCCCTGAACCCAGTCCCCACTGAAACCCTAAACTCCTAAACCCTATGTGAAACCCAAGCCCGAAACCCCAACAATCCAGAACTCCTGAAGCTTGGAAGTGCAACGGGACAAACTTTGACTGTCTCGTATGAGGCCACAGCAGGTTTAGGAAGAGAGCGGCTTTGGGTGTCGAGTTGACAGCGCTAGGACTTTCACATCGAGAGGTTTAAGGTTCAGGTCTTGGGTTGACAGCTATATATATATATATATACATATGTATATATATATGTATATATGTTTGTATATATACATATTAATGTATATGTTTCTGTTGTAGGCGTTTACCTAGTAGAAGCAGTGACGTGGTTTGGCGGTTTTCCCAGGATGGTAGGGTTTGCGATGGAGATTAGAGCGTTTCTGATCGCGAGTCTGACAGGAAAGCTTCTCAAGACTATGCGCCCATTAACTTGTCTGTACAAAGGGTTCTGGGTTCGCATAGCCTACTCCGCAAGATTATGCGCCCATCAACTTGTCTGTACAAAGCGTTCTGGGTTCGCATAGCCTACTCCGCAAGATCTGCAGATATCGGGCTGCTGCCCTCCAAGAAGCCACAGGTTCGATCTTTACAGCTCTGAGGCTCAAGGTTTTTGGGATAAGGCAAAATGCGCCATCAATGAAGGTTTTAGGGAAACCTCGACCTTCCGACGACGATCTGGTTGCTTTGAATATGAGGGTTTCCGAATATAGGGGACCCTAATATTGTACCCCCAAAATAGTAGGATCCTTGTTATAAGGACCCCAAAATAAGGTACTCCTAATTTTCGGAAAGTCCCATATGAGGCCGCTCTACAGGGTACTTGGATCCTGTTGGCGACGGTAGTGAAGAAGCAAGCCAGTCCTGGGGCGAGATGCGGGGGTTTGCAAGATGGAAGGCCTTCTTGAGACTATTTAAAGGGGGCCTTAGTAAATGTGCGGAACCCTATAATAAGGAACCCCAAAGTAGTATCGGCAATTATCTAGGTCCCTATACTACTACAGGGAAAACTCTAATCAGGAACACCGAAACAACAATATTGGTCAATGTTTAGGCATCTTATATGACTAGTATGGGGGCCTAACTGATTACCTATACCATTGTGGTGGCTCCTCATTATAAACATGGCATAGAGGTCGCCGAGACCCTATTCTAATTATTAAGGCCCCTACATTGCAGAGTTTCAGCTGAGGAGCTTGACAGTCTGCACGGCCAGAATTTTTCTCCGCGGTCCCTCCCGCCTCCAAAAGCGAGTCCACGATGGCCATGTAGCCGCAGCTCGATGCACAGTGAAGCGCCGTTCTTCCGAAGTTGTCCAGCGCATGCACGTCAGCCCTAGCTTCCAGAAGCAACTGGGCAATCTCGGCATGATTCCCCAAAGATGCCTCGATGAGCGCGGTGCGTCCCTGTCCATCCCGTTTATCCTTGTCAGCGCCAGCTTCCAGCAATAGTCGCACGCTCTCGGTGTGGCCTGGGTTAGTAACAAGAACCGCCCGGCCGTTCGACAACTTCACTGTTTTGCTCGCACCCGAGGCAAGGAGAAGGGCAGTGCAGCCATAGCTGTCCTGGACACTCCCACAGGGTCCTAAGTCCCTATATCGGGATGCTTATCCAAACGATAATAGTAATTTCTACTATAGAAACCCTACATTCTACTATATCGGCACTTAGGACCCTTAGCCTTAGCCATAGCTGTCCTGCACACTGGTGTCGGCGCCAACGTCAACCAGCACTCGCACGACAGCCGGGTGGCCATTGGCAGCTGCGGACATCAGACCTGTCAAGCCACTCTGGCCTAGCACATCCTTACAGGCACCACGACCCAAGAGCAACTTCACTACCTCGCCGTGGCCATGGCTTGATGCACCAAGAAGACCTGCGTCACAATGATCAGCCAGATCGGCACGGCCTTCCAGCAACACCTGCATAGCCTCAAGATGACCGCGATGTGCTGCGCAAAGGAAAGCCTCAGACATGAAATACATCTCTGAAGGATCGGACTCTTCGCAGTTGATAGCCTCAAGTAGCCTCTGTGCAGTCTCTGCATGGCCGTTTTTGCATGCGGCAACCAAAGCCTCGTGTTTAGCGTCTCTATCGGCCCCATCCAGCAGCAACATTGCAACCGCAGTGTGTCCACATTCAGCTGCACGAATCAGAGATACCGTGATCGCTGGCATCTCTGTATCTGTATCCATCTCGCAAACTCCGGCATTCAACAGAAACTGTGCCACATCCACATTGCCCGTCGAAGCAGCAAAATCCTGAGTTGTCCAGCTTTCGCCGAGCAGCGAGGGTTAGAATAGAACACACCCATCCCAACTAATTAATAAGGGACTTCTCGCCTTCACCCAAAGAGTCCTAAGTACTGTTCTAGGGGATACTTCCCCAAATCATAATAGAAATTCCTGATATAGAAACTCTACATTCTACTATAGAAGGTACTTTGGACCCTTTGTTTGGGACATACTAAGTCCCCTGATCTTTTAATTTTAAATGAGACCTAAAGCCGCAGAATGCCTCGGTCGTCTGAGACCCCAAAGCCTCTAAACAGAACCCCTTATAAAACCCTTAAGCCAAAAACCCTGAACCCTAAACCCTATAAACCCTATAAAATCCTATAAAACCCTAAACCCTAAACCCTAAACTACCCTACACCCTATAAACCCTAAACCCTGAACCCTAAACCCTATAAACCCTGCACCCTAAACTCTAAGCACCCGACACCCTACGCCCGTAGTGCTTGCCTGGAAGCTCTCAGCTCGCTGCGGGCTTCGACCTGTTTCTCTGGTGTCAGGGACGCCAAGAGCAGCTGTAGGTCCCATGGCTCCTTTTCGGGCTCCTTAACTAAGGGGTCTTTCAGTGTTCCATTAAGGATCTTTAAGGGTTCTATACGGGATCTTTATTCTTATCAGGGTCCTTCAAGGGCGCTTGTAAGGGCTCTGAAGCTTCCTTTAGAGAAGAGAGCTTAGGGATTGGGGTGGGTTGGGGCGACTTTGGCGATTCTAGGAATGCAATGAACAGGCTTATAGGGTTTAGGTGTTTAGGGGTTTAGGGATTAGGGTCAGCATGCCAAACAGGGTCCCCGCCTCAAGCTGCAAAGAGTCGTCCAATACCTGTCCATCCTTCACGAGCCTCTGCAGGCATAGCGGGAAGCCATGCAGCTCGCGTAGACGAGACTTCAATGTCTTGACATCGCCCAGCTTCTCCGTGCTTACAGCTAGCAGCTCCTGCCCCGACACACAAGCAAACACACGAAGCATGGCGGGAAGGCGACGGAGGGAAGAAGCAGAAGCCGGTGGAAGCTTTTGCAGAGCCAGCCAGTCCAAGGTTGGACGAGGATCAAAGGACTTTTCCAAAGTAGGGAATTATTTCTGACACGAAAATCCTTGAGTCGCATGCCTGCTTAGTAAGCTTTCGTGGGTCTCATGATACTTCCGGTAATTGCAGTTGAAACATAGCCCTCAGGGGAGGAAAGAAGCAAGCCTGTGTTGGATGAGGATATTGAACAATGGTGGGGAATGGTCCCCTGGGTCTGTTTTGCTATTCCCGCGTTTAGGGCTTAGGGCTCCAAGCCCAACCCGAAATCCGAAATCTAAACCCAACCCTGAACCCTAAACCACCCAACCCGAAAAACACCCTGAAATCTGAACTCAAATCCAGCCCTAAACCTGCTAACCTCCGAAACAAACCACTTGGACTGCGGAAGACGCAGACCTCCAATTTTCTTTGGGCATGACCTCGTATCCTACTGAAGTGGACTGGGGATTGGGGTTTCATGTTCTAGGATTTAGATTCGAAGTGAAAAAGTTTAGGGCTCTGGGCCCTAAAGCTTAGGGCGCTAAGGACCCTAGTGAAGCGCCCCAAGTCCTAAGCCCTAAAGTCTATACATGTTGGTATATTCCTGTCTTGTCATGAAACATGAACTTCCAAAAGCCCTAAACCCTAAACCCTAACCCTAAACCTAAAACCCTAAACCTAAAACCCTAAACCTAAAACCCTAAACCCGAAACCTTCCATAAACCCCAAGACCCCAAGACCGTGCGCATGGAACAGCTGGGGCCGCCTGGCGGCAAAGGCGCCAGCAGGTGGAACAACGGGACGGACCTTCCCAAAGGGTCTAGGGTATTATTATTACTATTAGTATTATTGTTATTGTTATTATTATTACTATTTATAGAGTTTATACGCTATTAATTACGACACTACTACTACTACTACTACTACTACTACTACTACTACTATAACAATAATAATAATTAATATTATTGCTGTTCACGTCTTCAAGGTTTAGGATCTCAGGTGCCGGGTTTAGGAAAGGCTCAGACACAAAACCCTTTGCGTAATTTGTAGGGGTTAGGGTCTACGAAACTATGTCAAAGTAGGCCCAAAAGCCATAACAAAACTGATCTCTTGGGGTGTGTGTACATATATATATATATGTACACACACATAATACATACACCCTCTGTGCTTGGCGGCATAGACCTTCGCACCAAAGCTGTAAAGTTTAAGGCCTTGGGGCAAAGGTTGAGGGTTCCGCGGGCTTCGTTCTCAGGTTTATTGCTTTCTATGAAGTAAGGGGGGGGGTTAACCCTAAACCCTGTAAGCCCTTAACCCTAAATAGGGCTAAGGGTTGAAGATGTAAGGTTTGTGGCATTCATGGTGTTTGCAGAGTCTATATAGGTAAGGAAAGTCGGCCAGGGCACCTCAACGGGGGGCCCCAAACACTGAACCTTAAATCGTCAGCCCTGAGCCCTTAACCACCTCACCTTCCTTTTCACCAAGTGTCGGGGAAACGAACTTGGGTCGAACAAACGGGACTTCATTTAACACGTAAACGATATTCTATCGGTCGATCTCTCCAAACCCCGGAAGCGGCGCTAATCTCGGAAGTTCCGAGCCCTATACCTATAGTCTCCCCTGTGGTTGCTTCCTCTTTGGACAAGCGGGATAAGCAAGCCTTTGATCCGGATCCTGTAGTGAAAGGCACAGAAACCAAACGAAAGGAACCACAAAGGATACTATCAAAGGTGACTATAGATCAAGCCCTGTGCTGGCCCTACACCCTAAACCCTCTGTGGCCTTGGGCCTCATAGCCCCTAGACCGCTCCTGATCCTTGAAGCAAGCCCCAAAGTTACGTTCGTGTCTATACCTCTAATGCTTTAATTGCCAGACCCCAATCCATTAACCTAAACCCTAAGCCCAGATTACAGAACCCATATAGAACCCTTCAAGGAGCCGTTTGGCAATTTTATTACGAACCCTAAACCTCGCTTTTCTGTCTATCCAGGTGGCTCGGCGACTAGAGCACTTCCGTAAATCTCTCCCACGGCGGGCTCCTCGAGTCCCGGCGCGCGTTGGGGCTTCGGAGCTTCGCGTCTACAGGGTTCAAGGCTTGTCGGGTTTAGGGCGTAAGGGTTAGAGTTTGTATACAATATATATATAAATCAATACATACAAATATCAATATAAATATACATATAAATACAGATATGAATATAAATATGAATCTAAATATAAATAAAAGTATAAGTATAAATATAAACATAAAATTATATATATATATATATGTGTACATGCATACAAGTGTAAAGGTTTCGGGTCAGGATTTAGGGCATATACGGTCTTTATGGAGCTTCTGGTTTAGGGATTTCCGGGTTTGGCCAACAAAACCGGAGGCCAGGACCTTCAGTTCTTCAGGGTGCAACCCTGTTATAGGCCTTCGTGGGTAGCAGGGGTCCGAGTCTTAGAGTCGGGTGCTGTGGGGAACAGAGATGGGGATGTGCGGTTCAGGGGAATAGGGTCCCTGCACCAGGAGCTACCCAATGCCATGCCGTTGCAGGCCCTCGAACCGCCCCAAACCCTAAACCGTAAACCCTCTTCACCTCGAGGACGCTGCGCACCACTCGCCAAACACGCTTGCGATCCAAGCCCTCCTGGAGAGATCATGCAGGCGTCCGGGGCTCCCAGTACGGTATTCAAACCCGAAGCCAAGAACACTAAACCATGTGGCGTTAATTAACCTTCACGGTTTCCGAGTACACCTCCTGTTTCCATGCATGCAAAGGGCTTGATGGCTTAGCAGAGCCGCATCACGTTTCTTCGCACATTCGCTGCTGACACCATGTTCCACAAAGAGCTGGTTCCAGGTCAAAGGAATACAATCCTGGATTAGTTGTAGTCCTCCAAGGGATTGTGGTTCATGGAACTTTGCTACCACGTTCTTGATGAACTCCTTGGCCGCTTCCCCAAACATCCCTGTGGTGTTCCTGCCTTGCTGGGTACGAGTATCGGAGCCGTCAATGATTTCAGTGGACAGAACCCTCGACCCTTTGACTGACACGCGCGAAAAAAATCGAAACCCCAACCCTCAGGTGCTCAGGATCGTAGAATTCCGGAAGCTTCTGGAACTTAGGGCGTTTACCGGGTTACTTGGAAGATGATCGATTGAAAAAAGTGCTGTAAGGATTCATAGGAGCCCGAAGCCCTCAACCCTATAATCTACAAGCCCTAAACCCCCTAAAGCCTAAACCCGAGGTGTGTTCGAGCTTCAAGGTTATGGATTTAGGAGGTCATATGGAGGTCTAGGGGGAGGACCTCTCAAGAACCTATGAGGGTTTAGGGTTTAGGGGTTTAGGGGTTTAGGAGCTGAAAAAGGGTTAAGAGTATCGGGTGGCGGGTTCCTCCGCCTGAACGAGAACTTCTGACTGAGAACTTCGGACGACTTTCGGTTATGCGTGCCGAAACATTCAAGGAGCTGGCATAGTCCAGGGTGTATAGGTTCTACCTGCAACCAAAAAACCCTGCCCTTTGCGGCTTCCTCTGTTGTAGGAAAGCCACATGCCTACATGCTGAGGCTCGGATACCAGACGCATGAAGTTTGGGAGGGCGTATCAACTCATGCCTCAGACAAACATGACTATCGCGGGGAACCTCTAACAAAATGCAGCAAACCCTAAACCCTAAACCTTAAACTCTAGATCCTAAACCCAAAACCCAACATCAGAAAACTCGACAGCCTGGTTTGTGTAGAAGAACAGCTGCAGAAGCGCTTGCACTTTAAGAAAGGTCGAACCCAAGTGCCGAGCCCCAGCCCGACAACCCTCAGCACATCAATCAAAAAAGGTAGAAGCCCCAAAGCCTAAACCACGAAAGCTAAAAGAGCTGGACCCTCAGGTAAACGAAACAAGGGCTCGTGGCTTATTTTATTATGAACGAACACGCACATTTATTCCTTGTTTCGTCAGAGCCTCAACCCAGCCTAGACTCTAAAGCAAAGAAACACTGTACCTCCAGCCCTAAACCCGGGGCGTCCTGCCACTGAACCTCCGTTGGAAATTGGGCTGTGAAGCGGTCGGCATAGTCCTTGAATCTCGGGTTTCAAAGTGTTTAGGGTTTATGTAGTTGCTTCCCGACGCTGCATCCCCATTCTTGAACAAGGATGCCACTATGTAAGGCCTATGTCTAAAGGTACCTTTGGTTAGAAACTACCTTCTCGGTGCATTCTGCGACGGGCCCGGGAACCCCAAGCCGAAGCTACCGGTGGAATCGTACAGAACCCAGGTTGGGTATAGGGGCCAGAAACAGCTTCTCGTCTAAGGGTACCTTTACCCATAGGCTCCATAGTAGTTCCATTTTTTGGGGTTTTGCATTTAGGGTTCTAAAGGGTAATCCCAAAAAGGAACTACAATGGGGTTTATGTTTAGGGTTCTATAAGGTAATCCCCAAAAGGAACTACTATGGAGCCTTTGGGTAAAGGGATTCTTTACGGGGCTTCGATAGCGGTCATCAAAGGGGAAAGGTCCTCGGTCGACGGAATACGAACAAGCTTCCCCAAATCAGACCCCACTGTGAATCCCTAATCCCTAAACCCTAAACCCTAAACCCTAAACCCTAAGTATCCGCAAGGGAATATATCTTGACCAGGTAACTTGGCCCCAGGAACTGACAGGAAACAGTCCTAAACTGCTTCAATGGTCTAGGGTTTTTAGGGATTAGGGTTTAGGGCTTTAGGGTTTTAGGGTTTGGGGTTTTAGGGTTTTAGGGTTTTAGGGTTTGGGGTTTTAGGGCTTTAGGGTTTAGGGTGGATTCCGTAGACCATGACTAGAACCCCTCGGCACGAACAGTCCCACAGCTTTCAAGTCCAACCCCTGAAGTTAAGATCCAGGTGTCGACCAAACCTTTCTCCACGAGGTCGTGCAGCTGCTCGGAGGTGCGTTCGTCCCCTCCTGTAACTGCCTGTGCAGGGTTTGTGACGGC